TCCCTCAGCTCTTCAGCTCAAGGCTAGTGCTCTACCACTTGAGCCACAGCACCACTTCCGGCTTTTTTCCTTTTTGCTTATGTAGTGTTGGGGAATCGAACCCTGGGCCTCATGTATGCAAGGCAAGCGCTCTACCACTGAGCCACCTCCCCAGCCCCATGGGAAGATATTCTTTTTGTCATTGCTATTCATTAAATAATAGTTCACTTTTTCAGTTGGGAATGTGGCTTAGTGGTAAAGTGCTTGCATCACATGCTGAAGCCCTGGGTTCGACTCCTCGGTACCACATACACAGAATAAGTCAGAAGTGGCCCTGTGGCTCAAATGGTAGAGTGCTATCCTTGAACAAAAGCTCAGGGACAGAGCCCAGGCCCTAAGTTCAAGTCCCAAGAGTGGCAAAAAAAAAAAATTCACTTTTTCATTTTTATTAATCTACGGTTGAAGTGCAGATTGTGACCATTTAGAATCTAAGAAGCCTGACATTATAGACAGTTTCTGTGTCCTTGTACATTTTGAATATAGCCCCTGAAACTCCAGAACAGGAACTCTGTTCTCCGTTAGATGAGGAGGTCCAGGCTTGAGTGGTGCCAAGGCTACTCATTAAGTAGGTGGTGACTTTGAGTCTTGTAACTTTTCTGCCCAAGCACTGATGTGTAGAGCTGTTCAGGTGCTCTGAGCTCATCACATTTGTTTCATAAACTCAGGTGCTGTGAGTGCTCTGGCCAAGTTTGGAGCCCAGAATGAAGAGATGTTGCCCAGTATCTTGGTGTTGCTGAAGAGGTGAGTCTAGGCTCGGGGACACTGGGTGACAGTGTGCTCCTGGGTCCAGGGACACTGGGTGGCAGTGTGCTCCTGGGTCCAGGTGGCTTTTTTTTTTTTGGTGCTAGTCCTGCTGTTGAACTCAGGACTTGGTGCTGTCCCTGAGCTCCTTCGTTCAAGACTAGTGCTCTACCACTGGAGCCACGGCTCTTCTTCCAGCTGTTTGGTGCTTATTTGGAGATAAGATTCTCAGGGACTTTGCTGCTTGGTTGGGTTTGCATTGTGGTCCTTACTCCGGAGAGTCGTTAGCCTTACAGGCACGAGCCACTGGCACCCAGCTCCTTCATCTTTTTAATAAAGGAGAAAGAAATTATGTAGTTGCAGATTATAAAGGAAAGCATAGAAAAGCAAGAAGAATGTTAATACACAAAGCCCAGCACCGACACTTGATAATATGAACTATTTTTTTCCATTAATAAATAATTTTATGGGGCTGGGAATGTGGCTCAGTGGCAGAGTGCTCACCTAGCATGCATGAAGCCCTGAGTTCATTTCTCAGTACCACATAGGTAGAGAAAGCTGGAAGTGACTCATGGATTAAGTGGTAGAGTGGCAGCCTTGAGCAAAAGAAGCTCAGGGACAGCACCCAGGCCCTGAGGTCAAGCCCCAGGACTGGCAAAATAAATAAATAGTTATATTGAGAAGTGAAACATATACTACACAGTTTACCCATTTAACATTCAGTGGGTTTTAGTATAATTCAGTCATAGAGTCATGAACTATCATCACAATCTAAGGTTAAAACATGTTTTATTACGCCACAAGAAACCTGTGTCCAGCTGGGTGCTGGTGTTTCATGCCTGAAATCCTAGCTACTCAGAAGGCTGAGATCTGACGATCATAGTTCGAAGCCAGCCCAGGCACTAAAACTCATGCGATACTTATGTCTAATTACTAGAAAAGCCACATGTAGAGCTATGGCTCAAGTGGTAGAGTACTGTCCTTGAGCACACAAAAAAATGCTCAGGAATCTGGGCGCAGTAGCTCACGCCTGTAATCCTAGCTACTCAGGAGGCTGAGATCTGAGCATCTCAGTTCAAAGCCAGCCTGGGCAGGAAAGTCTGTGACATTCTTACCAATAAACCACTAGAAAACTGCAAGTGGAGCTGTGGCTCAAGCAGTAGAGCACTTGCCTTGAGCTGAAGAGCACAGGGACAGTGCCCAAGCCCTGAGTTCCAAGTCCCATGACTGACCAAAAAAAAAAAAAAAGCTCAGAAATAGTATTGAGGCCCAGAGTTCAAGTCCTAAGATGGCACAAAAGAAAAAAGAAAAAACTGGGTCCACACCGGGCGCTGGTGGCTCACGCCTGTAATCCTAGCTACTCAGGAGGCTGAGATCTGAGGATTGTGGTTCAAAGCCAGCCCAGGCAGGAGAGACCGTGAGACTCCTATCTCCAATAAACCACCAGAAAAACTGGAAGTGGCCCTGTAGCTCAAGTGGTAGAGCGCTCGCCTTGAGCTAAAGAGCTGAGGGACAGCGCCCAGGCCCAGAGTTCAAGCCCCACGACCGACCAAAAAAACAAAAAAAAAAAACAAAAAAAACTGGGTCCACTAGTAATCAGTCCCTCTGCCAACCCCTCCAGTCTAAAGCAATCACCAGTTCTGAGTGTGTGAGTTTGTGTGTGGGTGCATGCGCACACACATTACTCCTGGGGGTGGGACTGAAGCTTTGCTTTTTTTCTTGGTAGCCTAAGCTGCCTTCAGACTATTAAAATAAAAAACCACCTGGTAATTAAAAAAAACAACAACTTTGAAAACAGTTTCTGGGTGTCGTGGAGCACCTACCATCCCTGTACCCAGGAAGCTGAAGCATGGGGAACCGTGAGTTGAGTACCAACCTGGGTTAAATAGCAAGATCCTATCTCAGCTGTGTGCAGATAAATTCTAGCTACTCAGGAGGCTGAGGTCTGAAGCTGAGGTTTGAAGCCAGTCGGGGCACACAGGTCCAAGAGAATCCTATCTCCACTTAACCACCAAAAAGCCGGAAGTGGAGTTACAGCTCAAGTAGTAGAGTGTCAGACTTGAGTGAAAAAGCTAAGGGACAACACTCAGACCCTGAGTTGAAGCCCCAGTACTGGCACAAGAGAGGGCCTTACTCTGTTGATAGAGCTGGCCTCGCCTCTTCCTACCTTCAAAGTAGCCAGGACTACAGGTATGTCAACATACCTGTTGTATGTTGTAGGTATGTCAACATACCTAGACTTTTCCTCTATTGCCAAACAATATCTGAGTATGTAAACGTAGCACATTTGCTTATTCATCAATTGATGGACATTTATTTCCACTTTGAGGATATCATCCATAAGATTTTGTGGATGAGAGGCTGGGAAGGTAGCTCAGTGGTAGAGCGCTTGCCTTGCATGCCTGAGGCCCTGGGTTCAATTCCTCAGCACCACATAAGCAAAAAGAAAAAAGCTGGAAGTGACACTGTGGCTCAAGTGGTAGAGCGCTAGCCTTGAGCTGAAGAGCTGAGGGGCAGCACCCAGGCCCAGAGTTCAGGCCCCACGACCCACCAAAAAAAAAGAGTTACAGCCTCTGGGGTCCGAGCTAGAGTGCCACCGTCCCTGCTGCAGTCCCGGGGCTCAGCCAGGAGCCTCTTGTGTGCCTGCTGCAGGTGTGTGATGGACGATGACAATGAAGTAAGAGACCGAGCTACCTTCTACCTGAATGTCCTGGAGCAGAGGCAGAAGGCTCTCAATGCAGGCTATATCCTAAATGGTGAGTCTTCGCAGCTATCTCACCCAGGACCTTCCTGGAGCTGTGCCGCCCCCTGTGGCTCTAGAGCATGGATGTCAAGAGGACACATTCTTGGTTGACTTTCACGGTGTCCTCATGGCATTACTGTGACCTCATCACATCCCAGATCTTGCCAGTCATGAACATCAGTGAAAACAGCCAATACATTGAAACATTCATTCATTCTCTTTTTGCAGCCCTTTACCTTTGTAAGTGGCTTTATATCTCCTCACACTAACCCTGTGGAAAGGCAGATAAGGACCAGAAATGGGGCCCAGACAGTTAACTGGATCAAACCACCTCATTCATAATGAGGTGCCCCGGGGCCTCAGTTTCCTGGGGATTTGGTGTGTCTGTGGTGCCATCCAGTCATGCAGCCTCTCCCACTCCTTCCAGGTCTGACTGTGTCCATCCCCGGTCTGGAGAGGGCTCTGCAGCAGTACACTCTCGAGCCATCAGAAAAACCATTTGACCTCAAGTCTGTGCCCCTGGCCACCACACCTATCGCAGAGCAGAGAACTGGTAAGTCCTGTGCTCCCCCCTGAGGCCCTCAGATCCAGGCAAAGCCGCCAGGCTCCAGGCCCCTCACCTCTCTGACTTTAGGAAGTGGGACTTAGATACTTGCCTCTTCTTACATGCCTCCCACTTTGAGGAGGATTGGACTTGTAATGTGGAGCCCACACTACACTGCCCTGCTGCCCTGGACCTGTGCTCACCAGATACATTTGCTCTGCAGAAACCACACCTGTTACCGTAGCAAAACAGCCTGAGAAAGTAGCTGCCACCCGGCAGGAGATCTTCCAGGGTAAGTAAACTACTGGCCCGAAATCAGCAATGTGATGGTGTGGGGTCCCATGTTCTCGGGACCCTAGTAGCATTGTGGGTCACAAAGTATGTGGCCTGTCCTCACTGCTCTTGGCAGTGAGGCCCGTTAGGTATCTATGGAGGGAATCAAAACCTGAGAGACGGTGATTTGCCCGAATTGCACAGATAGGAAATGGAAAGACTAGAAGATCTATATGACTCTCTCTCTCAGTGCTGCCTCAGGTCTACGCCTTCCTCCCTCCCTTTCTTTCTTTCATTTTACTTCCTCTTTTGTGTGTATGCTGGTATGGTACTTGAACTTAGGGCCTCAAGCTTGCTCAACTTTCTCTCTCACGGTTAGCACTCTACCACTTGAACCACATCTCCATCCTTGCAGATGATGTGCTCAAGGATTTCTCTGGGCTGGCTTCAGACCACTGACCTTCAGGGCTCAGCCTCCTGGGTAGTTTAAGTTTAGTGGTAAGGGCTATGTGCTCCGCCCTCCCCTCCCCTCCCCTCCCGCCCTTTTTTTCCCTAATGGGGCTGGAGCCCTGGTCTCCCACTCACCATAAGCAAGCATTCTGTTACTGAGCCACACCCATCCCTTTTTTCTTTTGCTTTTTTTTGTTGTTGTTTGTTATATCCTATTATTCTTTAATTTTTTTTATTAGCTTCACCTTTTTTTCCGTGTGATTACCTAGAGATAAGAGCCTCCTGGACTTTTCTGCCCGTGGTGCTCAGATCTCAGTCTCCTGAGCAGATAGGATTACAGGTGTGACTGCTAGCACTCAGCTCCCACTTGCGCTTCTGAAAACAACTGCAGCAGGTTTCACTGTCCTGTTTTCATGCAGGCAGGCTAACTGCTTGGACCATGTTCATCTTCATTCCCTGTCTGTTAGCCTCTTCTCTCCCAGTGATGGCTATTCAAGCAGAGCCTGTTTTGCTTCCTCTTCTGCCATTTTTTTTTTCAGCATGTATTAATGGTACCAAGGGGTTTAACCACTGTATTTCAAGTATTTCAAGTCCTGAGCTCATGCCCCAGTACTGGCACCAAAAGAAAACACATTTTTTTTTTTGAGAGAGAAAGAATATGCACACACATGTGCATGCTCAAGCATGTGTGCTGGGGCTTGAACTCGGCTGAGCTCTTGTTTGGCTTTTTTGTTTAAGGCTTTCACTCTACCACTTGAAATACACCTCCACTTGTAGCTTTTTGGTAGTTAATTGGAGATAAGAATTTCACATCTTTGTTTTCTATCCATGCTGGCTGGCTTCTTTCTCTTTCTCTCTTTTTTTTTTTTTTGGTTGGTCATGGGGCTTGACCTCTGGGCCTGGGTGCTGTCCTTATGCTGCTCTTCAGCTCAGTTGAGTTACAGTGCCACTTCCGGTTTTCTGGTGGTTTATTGGAGATGAGTCTCACAGAGTTTCCTTCCCAGGACTGGCTTTGAACCATGATCCTCAGATCTCAGCCTCCTGATTAGCCAGGATTACAGGTGTGAGCCACCAGCACCCAGCTGCTGCTTCTTTTTTTTGTCGGTTGTAGGGCCTGAACTCTGGGCCTGGGCGCTGTCCCTCAGCTCTTCAGCTCAAGATGAGCACTCTACCCCTTGAGCCACAGCGCCACTTCTGGCTTTTTCTGCTTATGTGGTGCTGAGGAATCGAACCCAGGGCCTCATGCATGCAAGGCAAGCGTTCTGCCCCTGAGCCACCTTCCCAGCCCTTCTCTCTTTTTCATTTTTTGTTCTGGTTTTAAAGCTTGAATGCAGGGATTGGACACTGTCACTTAGCTTTTTTGCTCAAGGTTAGGACTCTATCACTTGACCACAACTCTTACCTGGCTTCTGGTGGTTAATTGGAGATGAATTTCTTGAGGATTTGTCTGCCAGGGTTGGTTTTGAGCCAGATTTTTCACACCCCAGCTTCCCAAATAGGATTACCACAAGCACCAGGCCCCAGTCTGGCTGCTAACTGGTATCCCTTAGATCTTACTCTTGTGTAGCTAGTATTACAGATCTGAGCCATCAGCACCCAGCAAAAAACTTTATTAAAATACCATCACAAGCTGGGAATGGTGGCATATGCAGTAATCTCAGCACTTAGGAGGCTGAGGCAGGGAGATGTTGAGTTCAGTGCTAACCTTAGCTGCATAGCAAACCAGTCTTAAAACCAGAAGAAGAAATTATCCCAAGTTGATAATGGAGCGTGAGAAGCCAAGTAAACTTGACCTGTGTATTCCAGAGCAGTTGGCAGCAGTGCCAGAGTTTCGTGGGCTGGGGCCCCTCTTCAAGTCCTCGCTTGAGCCTGTAGCCCTTACCGAGTCGGAGACAGAGTATGTCATTCGCTGCACTAAACACACCTTTGCTGACCACATGGTGCTTCAGGTGAGCAGGGTGGACTGTTGGTACACGTGCCAAGAACCATATAGGAGAGCCTGACCCACACCAGATTGGGTGCAAACCCCTGTGCCTCCCATCTCTGCTCAGAGACAGGGAGCCTGGCGCAGGCGGGATGGGGTTCAGCTTGGGTTGTAGGGGTGGGGACCTCCTGGCTCTTTCTGTGCAGCAAACTTGGTCTTTGATCAGTGTCTGAGCTCCTACTCCTCCTGGTCCAGTTTGACTGCACAAACACGCTCAACGACCAGACCTTGGAGAATGTCACAGTGCAGTTGGAGCCCACGGAGGCCTACGAGGTGCTCTGTTATGTGCCTGCCCGGAGCCTACCCTACAACCAGCCTGGGACTTGCTACACGCTGGTGGCTGTGCCCAGGGAAGACCCCACAGCTGGTGAGCCCTCTCTAAAAACCACCTAGGCGTTGTGGGAACCCATGGGATTGGTATGGAGTGCACAGCTCTGACTTCAGACTTGAGAACACTGGTAATGGCTTAGGCACAAGTATCTTTAGTATATTCTCTATTTCATCCTCATAGCAAACGTTTGGGAATAAGTACTACTATTCTAGTTGCTGGATAAGGAAACTGAGATTCAGGTTAAAATTAATTGTACAAGTTCAGAACCAAATGATCATTTGGTCTTCAAATAAGTCCTCTTTCATTATACCACATTGTCTTTCAAAAACAGACACTAACCTCTAACATCCCAAACCCACTTCTCCCAAGAAACCCAGAAGCTTCTTTTTTCGCACCTTGTACAGTGGCCTGTGATAGGCATGGACAGAGCTCTTGCTCATTGTCTGCTCTCTTTTCTTCTCTGAGCCCTTGACATGCCTCTCCTGTCCTGCAAGCTTGCGGGGCTGAATGACATGCTGCTGCTCCTGATAACACAGCAGAATCCTGGAGGACTCACCCCTCTGCAGGCTGGGAACAGCCTGACCACTCTGCCATTCCTCCCACAGTGGCCTGCACCTTCAGCTGTGTCATGAAGTTCACTGTCAAGGACTGTGACCCAACCACGGGAGAGACAGATGATGAGGGCTATGAGGATGAGTACGTGGTAAGAAGCTGTACTGGAGGTCAGCCCAAGGCTATACTTTTGCGCCGTCTGAGGGATAACCAGACGAAATCCTTTTTTTTCTTTTTTTTGGTCGATTGTGGGGCTTGAACTCTGGGCCTGGGCCCTGTCCCTCAGCTCTCCAGCTCAAGGCTAGTGCTCTACTACTTCAGCCACAGCACCACTTTTAGTTTTCTGGTGGTTTATTGGAGATAAGAATCTCATGGACTTTCCTGCCTGGGCTGGCTTTGAACCGTGATCTTCAGATCTCAGCCTCCTGAGTAGCTGGGATGACAGGCGTGAGCCACTGGCTCCTGGCTATTCTTGATGCTTTGACTTATAGCTCTCTTTCAAGTAATTTCTTTTAGCTCCTAAAAATACATGTTCATACGTAGAAAAACAAACTAAGTGGGGGGGGGACAAAATATAAACAAATGAGAAAAATCTACATTGGGAAAAATGTACATTGTAGATCTTGCTTATTTCACTTAAAACCAGCCTACTTTCCTTTTTCATTACAGGTTACTTTGTAAACTTTTTTTTTTTGGGGGTCCAGTCATGGGGCCTGAACTCTGTCCCTCAGCTCTTCAGCTCAAGGCTAGCACTCTACCCCTTGAACCACAGCGCCACTTCCGGCTTTTTTCTTTTTGCTTATGTGGTGCTGAGGAATCGAACCCAGGGCCTCTGGCATGCAAGGCAAGCGCTCTACCACTGAGCCACCTTCCCAGCCACACTTTGTAAACTTTTTAAAAAATTTTAAATAGTGGTACAAAGGAGTTTCAGTGCATCACTTCAGTTTATAGTTTATGAGTACAATGAATCTTTTTTCCTTTGCAAGTTTTTATCAAAATAACTACAGGTGGCCCCAGTGCCTAGCCCTGATTTTTTGATGACTCTGCTCTACCACATACATGTATCATAACCTGGTTGTCATTTTACTCCTTTAATCTTGGGCATTTGGTTTGTAATGTTGCATTAAATATACCTTTGGAGGGCTAGGAATGTGGCTTAGTGTTAACTCTTAACACTTGCCTTGCATGCATGAAGCCCTGGGTTCGATTCCTCAGTACCACATAAAACAGAAAAAGCCGCAAGTGGCGCTGTGGCTCAAGTGGTAGAGTGCTAGCCTTGAGCAAAAAAGCTCATGGAACAGTACCCAGGCTCAAGCCCCAGGACTGGCAAAAAAAAATATATAGGGGCTGGGAAGGTGGCTTAGTGGTAGAGCGCTTGCCTTGCATGCATGAGGCCCTGGGTTCAATTCCTCAGCACCACATAAGCAAAAAGAAAAAAAGCCAGATG